TTTTGTATTTTTTGAAAATCGGAATTCCGGGGATAGCTTGAGATATCATGCTTCAAATGAATTCAATTATAGCTTAAAATGTTAGTTTCAATGCCACACTGTCGAAGTTGAACGATAATTATGATAGCGATATCTGTTGATTTTATTTTTGCGATGATTGTTGCAAATTTCGAATTTGCCATCATATATTAATAATAATCGACAACAACGGCCTAAACGTGGCTTATGTAGACGACAAACCTGTGGAATGCAGAGCCGATAAAAAAGCCAATTTCAATGACTAGGAAACCGTTGAACGAAAATGTAAACACCGAAACGTGAACAGGAAATACAGCTCCTGAAGTAAATGCCACGTAGTTAGGACGAGAATGTCAGCCCGTGAAGCAACAAATGGGTGAGGGGAGTGATAGGACCGTAAAAAAGACAATCAGTTGTCCGAAAGAAAGGGATAATAAGAATAATGATGATGATAGCACTCAGCTAAGTTGAAGATCTGACTCAATTGTTTAAAAATGAATCTCATTCAATTTAATAACATAAAATAAACAATGAATTATATGCCGTAGGAGAAAATGATGTGCAAAGGGACCATTCAGAAGCGTATTGCTAATTCATTACCAAAAATAACAAAAATATGAAGACAAGAGCAATTTCCCACTTGTTTCACATTAATTTTTTTTAAATTCAAGCAATTGCTGAAATACACGAGGGATTATTGCTCATCCATGATCTTCAATCAATGATTTTGAGAATTATATGCAGATCTGAGGGTGCGGTGTTTTTAAAATTTATCATGAAGATTTGTCAAGCCAAATTTAGAGAATTCAATTTTTATTCATTTTATGAATATTCATAGATATTCAATTCCATTAGAGCAATAATATATTTATTGGAGAGAGGGAGAAAATTATCGAACAAAGTTATATGAAGTAGTTTTGTAATTTCATAATTTTGTATTAAATAAATAAGAATATCATTCCAGAGATTTCGAGAGTTGAGTCTATCAACCCTAGTAGAATAAGAACTTTTTACATTATTTTTTCATTTGTGCAGTGGAAAAAGCGTCGGAATACTGCGAGAACATCCAAGCGACAGAATAGAGTCTCCAAAAGCTATGTTTTTTAAAATAATTTATAACAAATTCTCAATTCTTAATTATTAAAAATTTCAAATCCATATAGAATATTTTTTCTCATGTTCCAAAACGTCATTTTCGTTTGCGTTAATAAATTCTCCCTTTTTTGAGACAAATGAGAAACATTTTCAAAGAAATTATCGAAAATATCATCAAGTTAATGTAAATTTTAATTTTCCGAGATTAAACTCTATCACAAGCCCTTAAAAACCCCTAGAAACAACAATACGAACAATTAAAACCATAAATAAATTATTTATGTACAAAGCAGTGGCCTTAGAGACTAGAATTGTGCTGATAATCGAATGTATCGTAGATTGAATGTTGAAAACCTTACTAGACTACTTAAAAAATCTCAATCAATTTTTTTCATAGTTCAACTCGTAATTGTTGTTTAAAAATGTCTTCAATTTCGTGGGATAATCCGTCATTACCCCCGTTGCGCCTAGTCTAAATGCACATTCGTACTCTTCTTCTCTGTTCAAAACCCAGAAATAAACCTGAAAAAAAGTATCTCATGAATTTTTAATTTAAAAAAATCTTATCAGAGAATAATAAAATGCTAAAAAACTGTCGTCAATTTTTTCAGCAGTTGTCAATGGGCTTCCATTGTTCCTCCACGTGTTTTTGTTAGTGACGAAGGTATACATAATTTTTTAGTCGTCTGTTTGGCCATGAATAAGTCATGAGATACTATACTTACGTGAATGCCACGTGCTTGTAAATGATTGAATAAACATGGCCTCATTAATAACAAATTCGTCATGTGACAGACGACTTTGTGGAGAGGTAGAAATGTTGCTGACAGACCCCCTTTTCTTCTGGGAAACAATCGATAACGGAAACAATTATTTTATTGTAGTTATCCATTATTAATTCAATAATGAAGTGGTGAAACATTAATTTGTCGATTGTTTTTTTGGCGATATCTCAGGATCTAAGGGAGATACCAAATTTTTGTTTTGACATTTTCTGCGGGCATTTTTTCGCCCTACAAAAATGGTTCAGATGAAAATTTCGATATCTTCTTTAGATCTTGAGATATTCATGAAAAACTGATTGTTAAGTGGAAGTCTGTTTCACCACTTCATTATTAAAATCCTTTCATCTTGAATATTTCAAGAACCGGAAGGGGTGGACGAATAAAAATTATTGCATTTGAAAGCCAGGAAAATTTCCGATGAAATCCTCTGGTGTTGAGCCTCTGTATCTCCTCTAAATCTTCTCATAACAGTGAAAAACTTTTTCAGCTTAAAAAACGGATTCTTTGCTGTATCCTTTGAAGTTCCGGGGCAAAACGGGTTTATAAGGGGAGTTCTGGATCGGAAATTTTCCTGGCTTTTCAATGAATTTTGATTGAATCTTCTGGCTCTTTCTGTTCTCGAGATATTCAAGAAAAACCAATTCAAGAAATTTGTAATTCAAATTTTGTGGAAAAAAAAATAGAAGAAGATTTTGTTTTTCGATTACCTGAGGTAGATTGAGGGTAAAAATATCTCTAGGTGAGTCTCCTTGAGGGAAACGAATGGCAAGAGTCCAGAGTACATCAGAAGTATGAGAGTTGTCACTCGCTTCATCGAGAAGAATAAATTAACGTTTGGATTCTGCAGAAGAAAAAAATGTTAAAAATGTTAATTTTTGTTTTGAGGGTTGTGTGGAGTGTGGAGAGCGGTTTACTGACTGTTTTGTAGCATTTCTGAGTTATTTCATTGCTGAAATTACCCCACACTGTGTACTCCTCACGATTGTACTGCTTAATCAAGTCTGAGACCTTCGAAATTAGTCTGTCATCGTTGATTTTTATGTCAATATTTATGGGAAGTTCCGGGAATGCGTCGAATACTTCTTTGAGGAGCGGAAATTTTCGGTCTGATTCGTTGGCTGATCCCACGTATTCCACTTCTACAACAGGAACATCGAAATAAATTCATTAATTATCCAATTATTACAAAATTAATCAAACAATAAATTACTTTTAATGCAAACAATTGATTAATTTCTGGGATTCATGACAATTGCAAAATTAAAAATGCATAATAAAAAAAATCGCCATTGTTTAGTCTTTTCAATATTAGTAAAAGTGATTTTTTACGTATTTTGAAGTTAAAAACATGTTTTTAACAATTTTTTTCTCATTTTGAAATAAATTTTTTAATTTAAGAATAACTAAATCATTGGAAGAAAATTAAATTGTCTCGATAATTGAGATAAACAGATAATTGAATTGATTGAATGGAAAAAGGAAATTATTTTCACGTGAAAAATTAAAATTTTTTGATTGGAAAAATTAAAATATTTTTTTTTTTTCATGGAAAAATTATAATTGAGGTTTCTGAAGGGTTAAAAAGGGCTGAGAACCTCACCTGGATCGAAATCGATGGGCAGACAAGGTTTCAAGAGAGGTAAATCTGTATAATTGACTTCGCTGATGTTTTTGTTGAGCCCAGTGCTCCTGAAGAGGTTCTGATCGTGGGAAACAACGACTTCCTCATCTTTTGTGAGGTGGCAGTCCAATTCCAACATCTCTGTGCCGATCTCCACAGCTCTGCATTGCAAATAAACCAAATAATTTGAAGATATTCATCAAAAAACTACGAATAAACTAAAGAACTCTAAATAAAATAAAGAAAATCACTATCTGAACGATTAATTTCTTACAAATTCGATCATAAATTGATCGATTAAGAGAAATATTTGACAATTCAATCAATTACTCTAACAATTACGAATAAGAGATAGGACAATGCAGAATAAAATGGGATAGCCCTCATCAACTTGGAAATTAATTCTGAATTTGTTTAACAACACTGAAATTAGAATTTCAAATGTTACACTCGGAAGAGAATTATGACTTCTGCAACGACTCTTAAAGTAGCTCTATCCTTACGGTAAATTCAAAGATTATTGAAAACTGCAAAAAAATTGCAGAAAACTCGATTAGATTCGGAATTCTCATTTTTTTCTCAATTTAATTATCGCTTTGGTTTTTCAAAGAAGAAATGTTTAAAAATCAGGATTTAACCCAGTGTCTTATGTGAAAATCAACATTTCCATTGTAATCAAAGATTAAAAACTGATTTTTTTTTCATTAGCTGTGAAAAAATCAAGATTTTTTTTTACACCTCATAAAAAATAATCCACCGGTTTGCGAACAAGTTTTCTTATTTATTTATAAGAGGGAAATGTTTGAAAAAATATCAATATTTTGCGAAATTTAATTTAGATAATACTGACAGGGTATGAATTTTTGCAATTTTTTTCCATGCAATTTAGTTGAAAAATTTTTTAACTGAAAATATCCAAAAGTACAGCGTAGCCGAAGGGTAGAGCTACTTTAAACAATGCAAATCCAAGACAGAAGATTGAAGTTTAAGAGAAATTGTCACAGAGAATCTCCGAAGTAAAAATTATTTTGTAACAAACAGACGGGAAATTGAATAAAGGGGTGGATTTATTTATTTAATTAATTGATTAAATCAATACAGGAAAAGTTGAATTGATCTGTTCTGTGTTTTGAATAACATCAGAACAATAGAATAACAAAAAAAAATCATGCAGACATTTATTTATTTCATCAAGAGGGAGGAGTATTGACAAATTAAACATTCGATTTCGTTACAATATGAAGGCAGTTTTTCCCTTTAAATTCCAAACGGCGAAATTAACTATAGGAAGTTACTGAATTATCAATTATCCTAACGGATTTCACAAATAAAAGTCTTGTTTAACTCAAGAAAATTCCATCTTTACCTTCGAAATGCACTCATGGTGTTTTCATAGCTCTCCCCAGCCCCTGTAACAGAGCAACGGCGTCAAGATATATGCAGTTACTTATTTATTTATTTATTTATCTCTAGTGCGTTCAATAAAAACTTATTGTTAGGAATAGAGCAACTCCTCACCCTCTCCGCCCCCAAAAAATCCAAAATAACTCACCTCCTCGATGGCTGATGTGTCTGCACCGAAATTTAATTTTCTTCTTCTTATGAATTAACATCGGGTACTTAAACAAAATAACCGAGCTCAGCACGTAACCCCCCAACAGGGTATAAAACAGCATTTTCACCCCTCGAAGAATGTCCCCCCAATTCCCGGCGAGAAAACCGTTTCGAAAAAAATCGAGAACAACGATTTCTGCGGAATTCACACGATGACATTCAAGAAATGCATTCAAACCGTGCAATTACCCTTTATATATCAGCGGCTTCTACTGACTCCAACTGACTCTCCAGGGTCGAACCCGCGGCTTCGGGATATATAAACAAGAGAAGGTCCTGTTTTCACGAGGGAAAATTCGATTTTCGAACGATTTTTCACGTGAAAACGGCCCTGCAGGCGGCCGCCATTTTGCCCCGGGCGTCCACGCCGCAAAATCCAATATGGCGGATGCTAACGTTGAAGATTCGTCAGCGGCATGAGTTTTTTGGGCTGAATTTGTTTATTTGGCTCGGATTAATTGTTATTATGCGATCGTAAGGGGGATTTACTGCTGGAGAGAGGTGAGTGATTTTTTTTTTGAGGATTTGGGCTTTTGAGGGGGGTTTTGGGGGAGGGAGAGGCGGTCTCGTGTCGGCGTTTGGCAATCGTTGGCGAGGGAACATTTTTTGTGGATGTTGAGTGTTTTTCTGGGGTTGTGAGGGAGAATATGAGAAAAAGTCGCTGCAAATGGGTTCTGGGAATTTCTGTTGGGTTTCGGGAGTTGATTTTTCATTTGTTTGGTTGTGGATTATTATTTTTTCTCATTGGTTAGTATTTCCAGTTCTGAGGGGCGGGGGGCATATGGAAACATTTATTTTTCGTGAGTTTTGGAGTAAATTGAATATTTTTTGGGGCGGGTGGGGTATTTTCGTACGAGACAATTTTTTTCGTCGTTTTTTTAGGGTTGATGAAGTTTAAGGGGATTTGGCATGAGTTTTTTGGGCTGAATTTGTTTATTTGGCTCGGATTAATTGTTATTATGCGATCGTAAGGGGGATTTATTGCTGGAGAGAGGTGAGTGATTTTTTTTTTTGAAGATTTGGGCTTTTGAGGGGGGTTTTGGGGGAGGGAGAGGCGGTCTCGTGTCGGCGTTTGGCAATCGTTGGCGAGGGAACATTTTTTGTGGATGTTGAGTGTTTTTCGGGGGTTATGAGGGAGAATATGAGAAAAAGTCGCTGCAAATGGGTTCTGGGAATTTTTGTTGGATTCCGGGAGTTGATTTTTCATTTGTTTGGTTGTGGATTATTATTTTTTCTCCTCATTGGTTAGTACTCTGATTTGTAAGGGGTGGGGGGCATATGGAAATTTTTTTTTTCGTGAGTTTTGGAGGAAATTGAAAATTTGGTGATTGAAATTTTTTGGGGACGGTGAGGTGTTTTCTTATGAAACTTTTTTGGAATTACAAGTGAGGGCCATCTTTCGTTTTTTTAAGGGTTGAGTAAGTTTTAGGGGGATTTGGCATAAGTTCTTGGGAAATCTGATTTTGTTTATTCGGTTTGGGTCTTTTAAGATTGAAATATGAATAGAGTGGTTTTTGGATATTTTGAAGAGATGTTTTAAAATATATTTCCCCCATTGAAAAATCAATTTCTTGAGGTTTTAAAGTGGGAGAAGTACATGTTTTGGAAATGATGAAGTGCGTAGGGGTCCTGAAACCAACCGTACATGTGGGTCGGCTGCCACAGGGCCTTGTGGCTCGTCCTGGACGAGGCTGGCAACGTCCTGTGGTTGGATCAAACGCTAATTCTGATCAAAAACCTCAAAAAATCCTCCAAAAACAATTCCTTGAAATGCATTGTTCACATTACGAATGCATGGAATTGAACCTTTTTTTTAAATGTAGGTATTGTTGAGTCCCATCAATCGTCATTAAATAAAATTTAATTCATCGACTAGTTTTTTAAATTTTCTAATTTTTTCTAAAATCGGTTGTCCCACTATAACTAAAAAAAATGTTCTGAATTGATTGAATGATGGCTTAAAAAATTTGTTTGGATGTCCTTTTGACCGAGTTCGAAGATGAAGGCGATAGCAATAATCGTTATTTTGATTTATTTGAAAATTTGCAAAAATTTTGTATTTTTTGAAAATCAGAATTCCGGGGATATCTTTGAATATCATGCTTCAAATGAATTCAATCATAGCTTAAAATGCTTGTTTCAATGCCATTAAGTTCGAAGTTAAAAGATGATTACGATAGCTATATTGGTTGATTTGATTTTTATGATTGTTGAAAATTTCGAATTTTTCATGAATTTCCCTGAAAGTGAGCTTTCTGATGGTTTCTTCAAATGTGATGTTTCAAATTCATTCAAGCATGTACAAATAAAATTTTTCTATTAACATTTTATCGAAGGGCTGAGGGGAGAGATAGAACCGTAAAAAAGACAATCGGTTGTATAGAAGAAAGGGATAATAAGAATAATGATGATGATAACATTCAACTAAGTTGAAAAACTGACAGAATTAGGGGTTTTGGTAGACAATACGTACCCCTGCCAGATACCCTGCCAGAAATTGTCACATGGGGAGTAGATTGCCAGAGGTGAATTTAGGACTCTTCGGAACACTTTATATAATTATATAAGTGGCCGGGTAGGTGTACGGGACCTCCCATTTCGCACCTTCCTTCATAAGGCAAATTTATTTTAATAAATTAATTTCAAAATAGTCACTTTCTAAATTCCCGAGCATGGTAAAGCATCGAATTACGAGCCTTACCAGCTCTTGGCGTTACCCAGGACCCAAAAATTCCCAAATATAAAATTTATATTGAGAAAGGGACCGTATAGTCTACCAACACCAAATTAGTTGAAAAGAAATCTTATTCAATTTAATAAAATGAAATAAACAATGAATTATACATGACAGAAGAAAATGATGTGCAAAATAACCATTCGGAAGCACATTGCTAATTTATTAGGAAAAATAACTATACTATATGCAGTACAAGAGCAATTTCCCACATGTGTCAGATTTTTAAAATGTTTCGCATCGGTTCAATATCGAGATCCAAATTCAGAGCTGCAAAGTTTAATCAATAAAATCATTACATAGTGTCCGGAAACAGGTCAAATGGGGCTCAAATGAATGCTCTGATGTTCGACTTCAAAAGTAGAAAAGCATTTCACTGGAGAAGAAATAGCCAAAGTTCTTGGATATCCCCAAAGTCCTAAAAACGTTTCTTATCACTTGCAGAATAAGAGGAATCACAATGTCGATTCCCCCCTACCACCTGCTGGGCCCGAACCCCTGGGCGACGATGATGGCCCAGCAGCAGGCGCACGCCCAGCTGGCAGCAGCCCAGGCACACGCTCAAGCAGCAGCGCACGCCCAGGCTGCCCACCACGCTCACATGCAGGCGATGGCCACAGGCCCGCCCCTTCCCCAATTGCCAAAGCAGCCTGAGGTCCTCTCCGAGGACAAGCTCCAGGAGAAGGCCCAGAAGTGGCAGCAACTGCAGTCGAAACGCTTCGCAGAAAAGCGTAAATTTGGTTTCGTTGATGCACAGAAAGAGGACATGCCCCCTGAGCACATCAGGAAGATCATCAGGGATCATGGGGACATGAGCAGCAGGAAGTATCGACATGATAAGAGAGTGTACCTGGGGGCACTCAAGTACATGCCTCACGCTGTCATGAAGCTCTTGGAGAACATGCCCATGCCCTGGGAGCAGATCAGAGATGTCAAAGTAATTTTCTCACTTTTTTCGTAGTTTTTTTGGAGATATCTCAGCAGGGAGTGGGTCTAGCGCAAAATATGATGAAACATTTTTTGTAGAGTATTAAATTCCCCACAAAAAATGTCTTATCACTTTTTTCTCTAAACCTGATACTTTCAGAGATACTCGCTGGATAAATTCGACTCAAATTGACTAATTTTCATTTTGACATTCAGACACGAATTTTTGGGATTAAAAGTTTGTTTTAATCATTTTAAGGTCCTCTACCACATCACTGGTGCCATCACCTTTGTGAATGAGATCCCCTGGGTGATCGAGCCGGTCTACATAGCCCAGTGGGGCACCATGTGGATCATGATGAGACGAGAGAAGAGGGACAGAAGGCACTTCAAGCGAATGAGGTTTCCGCCGTTTGATGATGAGGAACCTCCACTAGACTATGCTGACAATGTTCTAGATGTTGAGCCACTGGAGGCCATTCAGATCGAGTTGGATTCTGAGGAGGATGCCAGTGTTGCCAATTGGTTTTACGAACACAAGCCACTGGTTGGGACGAAGTAAGTTCAGTCGATTTGTTTTTTTTTTAATTTTTCTCAGGAACTGGGGAAGATATCGAGGTACAAATGATGTCAATGAGTGAGCAGGGATATTTCCGATCCAAAACCCTGGTCATGGGCCCTTTTTCATCAAGAATTCGAAGAAATATCGGTGGAAAACGTTTTTGGGTGTTAAAATGAAAAATTTAGATTTTGAGGAGCAGAGAGGGGGTGGAGGGGTTTATGACCAAAGGTTGAGATCGGAAATTTTCCCGGCTGTTTGAGGAAATTAGATTCGACTCGATATCCCTTCAGCTTCCTGAGATATCCTTAAAAAATCGCAAGTTAAAAAACACGGTGTCAAATAAACTTTGTTCCAGACGATAATTTAGTTGGAAAATATTAATTTTGATATGATGAAGTGCGTAGGGGTCCTGAAACCAGTCGTACATGTGGGCTGGCTGCCACAGGGCTTTGCGGCTCGTCCTGGACGAGGCTGGCAATGTCCTGTGGTTGGATCAAACGCTAATCTGATCAAAAACCAGAGAATTCTTTCAAAAATAAAAACATCGGCAATATCTCAAACGAATGGGGAAAGTAAGGCGGTTTTCATGAAGCCCGTCAGACAAATAAAAGAGAATTGAATACCATTCTATGAAACATGAATAAACGAATCATAATTGTTCAAATTATTTAGGTCAGAGGAAAAAAGAATAATTTTACTTTTTTAATATTGCGTTTACTAAGGTTTTCTTCGAACAAAGTCGATTTGAATTAACAGCTAAAATTATGAGATTATCTCACATTTTTGACGTTAAGGATAGGAGAATCTGAATGCAATATAGTGAAAATGATGATCGATTTTTTCACTTTGAACAAATAATATTAATATCCAAATACAAAATTTCTGATATGAATAACAAGAAGCTGTGACTCAATATTCCAAATCGTTTTCATTTTTAATTTGGTGCTGAAAACACGAGATGACAATATTCTAAGCACGGAATTATATTGATGAGATGAACAACAGATTAATTGAATTACCGTGTGAACAAACTAAAAATTGATAACAGTGTGAGCACGCACTTTTACCAGAGTATCAACAAACATTGAATTCCAGAAATTCACACTCTAAAGTGTGTTCTAGAAGGAATTGAATTGTAATTAAGATTAAAATCTTATTCAGTGAGCATAGGAATTAGAGCATGAATAAATCATTTATTGTTATCTGAAAATTTAACAGCTGATAAATTGGGACATGTGATTCTCGCCGATCGTATTAATTTTTGCAATGAGAACGATTATAAACAATTAATTGAAAAAAGGAACATCGAATCTGGGAGGAAAAAGGGCATCAGGAACTGTTCAAGAACTCTTGATACATTTTTAAGATTAGTTTCTCTAATTTCTAGACATGTGAATGGGTCAACCTACCGTCGATGGAACCTCACCCTCCCCCAGATGGCGACCCTCTACCGTCTGGCGAATTCCCTCTTAACTGATCTCGTGGACCAGAACTTCTTCTATCTATTCGACCCCAAGTCGTTCTTCACAGCGAAAGCCCTGAACATGGCTATTCCTGGGGGTCCCAAGTTTGAGCCTCTGGTCAAGGACTCCAATGCTGCCGATGAGGACTGGAACGAGTTCAATGACATCAACAAGATCATTATCAGACAGCCCATCAGGACTGAGTACAGGATTGCCTTTCCTTATTTGTACAACAACATGCCACACTTTGTCCATCTGTCTTGGTGAGTTGAGGACAGTATTGAGGACAATTCTCGATTTTTCTTGGGGAAGATTCAGTGGTGAAGGGGTTGAATATGTGCTGACCGAGTTTTTCTTTGATTGTTGACTAATGAATCGATGGAATTAATCATATTTTTTTTTTTTCAAATGCAGGCATTAATTGAAATTAAATTATATGCTGAATTCATACGTCAATTTTATATATTTAATTCATATATTTAATTCATATATTCATAATTCATATATTAATTTAGAATTTTTTAATTTTCTCACGATAGCTCACAGAAATATTCTGAATTCCATATCCTCAATTCAATTTTTTTTGAATGCAAGATCTGAACAAAAATCATTTTTAAACGAAAACCATTTTATTTTTTTACCTCTTCGCTACTGAAACTTCTGTTTAAAAATCTTTTTTACTGATAATCTTTTGGCTTAACCCACACAATGTTTTGATGGTCTTTATCGAGATTCGGAGAGTATCACTAGCAGTGTGGAAGATAAATGGTAGTTGTTATTCGTATTCTTCGTGGAATTAAGAGGAACACTGCTGATACTACCAACAAAATTAAATAATCACCAATGGGAATATTTCATACAATTTTTAAAAAATTTTCAGTCGATAATTCATGACAAATTGTATTTCAAACTTTCGAAATCGTTTATTTTTTCTTTAAAGGTTGCAAAATAATAACTTCAAAATTGAAGGATTCTTCATGTATTGAACTTCTTGAAATCCAAATGATTTATTTTAATAATTTCTTCACTGAATTAAAATGTATGAAATATCTCTATCGGTTCTAGTAATTCCACACACAAAAAAGGTTTGATTTTTAGGGATTATCGTATGTCATCAATTTTCAAGAATCTATCACCAATTATTGATGATGAACACTTCCTACAATGATTCTGATCATCACTGATCTTTATCACTGAAATTTGATAACAGATTCCCAAAAATTAGAGATGGATCTCTGAAAATCACTGACACTACTGTGAAAATTATTCACGATGTCCCAATAAAATGAGTCACTGTCACTTACAATTAGTGATTTTGCCCTCACTGAATTTCTCAATCAAAAATCCTTAACAATTGGTGATAAATTCCTGTAAATCATGGGGATAAATCCCTGGATATCCGTGACGTACGCCTGAAAATCAAGACTTGTGATTCCTCTGTGTAAAAAAGTTCCATCGGACACCCAGAGAACTTTCGACTCCAAAAAACTCCTAACTTCTCACAGTACTTAATTTGACCCATATGACCCTTAAAGTCCTTGATCTAACCCTTACGACCCTTAATCTCTCATTTCGGACTGTTAATTTAATCCTCGTGACTCGTATTCTGACCCTTATGACCCTTATTCTGAAACTATGCCCATTATTTTGATCCTCGTGACCCTTAATTGGGGAGTTTTAATTTTGAGTACCAAACTTTTATCACGAGAAGTCGATTTGGGTTTTTTGTTAATGTAGAAAGATTCTTTTTTCTTTTATTTTCTTTCTCTGTTCTACAATCAAAATATTGTATATCATATGTAAATACTAGGCTGAAGGCCCTTGGGCAATGACCCGTCACAAGCTTTTTGTGCCAAACTCCGTTAAAAATACAACTATAATAAAAAACCCGACAATAACCAGACACCTGAGCCCCTCATAACTGTTATCAACAAGTTACTAATAAAGAAACAGCTACGAGAAGAAGAGAAAAGTTACGAGTTTTTTGAAGATGAATAGAAACGGTTGAAATAATTAACAACTTTCTGCCGGATAGCCCTCCTCTCCCCCCGGATCCGTTTCTCCCTGCCGAAAAATCGCGAGCACCGTTTGACACGTGCTTTTCTTCCAGGTACCACGCCCCAAACGTCGTCTACATAAAAACGGAAGACCCCGATCTCCCCGCGTTTTACTTTGATCCCCTGATAAACCCCATCTCCCACCGTAACTCCCTGAAAACAATCGAGCCCGTGCTCGAAGACGACGAGGACTTTACCCTGGACGAAGAGGTCCAACCGTTCCTCCAGGAGACCCCCCTTTACACCGACAACACCGCGAACGGTATTGCCCTCCTGTGGGCACCGCGTCCCTTCAACACTCGCTCGGGTCGCACTCGTCGCGCTATCGACATTCCCCTGGTCAAGTCCTGGTACAGGGAGCACTGTCCCCCAGGGCAGCCAGTCAAAGTGAGGGTGAGCTACCAAAAGCTCCTCAAGTACTTCGTCCTAAATGCCCTGAAACACCGACACCCCAAGCCCCAGAAGAAGCGCTACCTCTTCCGCTCCTTCAAGTCAACCAAATTCTTCCAAACTACGACCATCGACTGGGTCGAGGCAGGCCTCCAGGTCTGTCGTCAGGGCTACAACATGTTGAATCTTCTGATTCACCGAAAGAACTTGAACTACCTCCACCTCGATTACAACTTCAATCTGAAGCCCGTTAAGACACTGACCACGAAAGAGCGTAAAAAGTCGCGATTCGGTAATGCCTTTCATCTCTGCCGAGAGATCCTTCGATTGACCAAACTCATAATTGACTCCCACGTGCAGTATCGACTGAACAATGTTGACGCGTTTCAATTGGCTGACGGCCTTCAGTACATCTTCGCTCATGTTGGTCAGCTGACGGGAATGTATCGGTACAAGTACAAGCTGATGAGACAGATCAGAATGTGCAAGGACTTGAAACATTTGATCTACTATCGATTCAATACCGGTCCTGTGGGTAAGGGGCCAGGGTGTGGGTTCTGGGCGCCAGGTTGGAGGGTCTGGCTCTTCTTCATGCGGGGTATCACCCCCTTGTTGGAACGATGGCTAGGCAATTTGCTGTCTCGACAGTTCGAGGGACGACACTCGAAGGGAGTCGCCAAAACTGTGACGAAACAGCGAGTCGAGTCACACTTTGATCTTGAATTGAGAGCATCAGTTATGCACGATATTGTTGACATGATGCCAGAGGGTATCAAGCAGAACAAGGCTCGAACGATCCTTCAGCATCTGTCGGAGGCCTGGAGATGCTGGAAAGCTAACATTCCGTGGAAGGTGCCAGGTCTTCCCATTCCCATCGAGAACATGATCCTCAGGTACGTCAAGATGAAGGCTGACTGGTGGACGAACACAGCTCATTACAACAGGGAGAGGATCAGGAGAGGAGCGACTGTTGATAAGACAGTCTGCAAGAAGAATTTGGGAAGGCTTACTCGTCTCTACTTGAAGGCTGAACAGGAACGACAGCACAATTACCTGAAGGACGGGCCTTACATCAGCCCTGAGGAAGCTGTCGCCATCTACACAACGACTGTTCATTGGCTGGAGTCGAGGAGATTCGCGCCTATTCCGTTTCCTCCACTCTCCTACAAACACGACACGAAGCTTCTCATTCTTGCTCTAGAACGACTGAAGGAAGCTTACTCTGTTAAATCACGACTCAATCAGAGTCAGAGAGAGGAACTCGGTCTCATTGAACAGGCGTACGACAATCCTCACGAAGCCTTGTCCAGAATAAAACGTCATCTCTTGACTCAGCGTGCCTTCAAAGAAGTCGGTATCGAGTTTATGGACCTCTACAGCCATCTCATCCCAGTTTACGACGTCGAACCCCTTGAGAAGATAACAGACGCTTACCTGGATCAGTACCTCTGGTACGAGGCTGACAAGAGGAGATTGTTTCCACCCTGGGTCAAGCCCTCAGACACTGAACCTCCACCACTTCTCGTTTACAAATGGTGTCAGGGAATCAACAATCTCCAGGACGTCTGGGACGTCTCAGAAGGGGAATGCAATGTTCTCCTTGAATCGAAGTTTGAGAAGCTGTACGAGAAGATTGACTTGACACTTCTCAACAGACTTCTACGTCTGATCGTCGATCATAACATCGCTGATTACATGACAGCCAAGAACAATGTCGTTATCAACTACAAGGACATGAACCACACGAACTCTTATGGTATCATCAGGGGATTGCAGTTCGCCTCGTTCATTGCCCAGTACTACGGACTGGTTCTTGATCTTCTCGTTCTGGGATTGCAGAGAGGAAGCGAGATGGCGGGACCTCCTCAGATGCCCAATGACTTCCTTACGTTCCAGGACACCGACTCAGAGACTGCTCATCCCATCAGACTGTACTGCAGGTACGTCGACAGGATCCACCTGTTCTTGAGATTCACAGCGGATGAGGCTAGAGACTTGATCCAGAGGTATCTCACTGAACACCCTGACCCCAACAACGAGAACATCGTGGGGTACAACAACAAGAAGTGCTGGCCGAGGGACGCCAGGATGAGGCTGATGAAGCATGACGTAAACTTGGGAAGAGCTGTCTTCTGGGACATCAAGAATCGCTTGCCCAGATCGACCACGACGATTCAATGGGAGAACAGCTTCGTCTCGGTTTACTCAAAGGACAATCCCAACCTGTTGTTCAATATGAGTGGATTTGAGTGCAGGATCTTGCCGAAGTGCAGGACCACTCATGAGGAGTTCAATCATAAGGATGGAGTATGGAACCTTCAGAACGAGGTGACCAAAGAGAGGACTGCTCAGTGCTTCCTGAGGGTTGACGACGAGAGTTTACAGAGGTTCCACAACAGGGTCAGGCAGATCCTCATGGCGTCTGGATCAACGACCTTCACGAAGATCGTTAACAAATGGAATACTGCACTCATCGGACTGATGACGTACTTCAGGGAGGCTGTGGTCAACACTCAAGAGCTACTGGATCTTCTGGTCAAGTGTGAGAATAAGATTCAGACGAGAATCAAGATTGGACTGAACTCGAAGATGCCCTCGAGGTTCCCTCCAGTGGTCTTCTACACCCCCAAGGAGTTGGGAGGTCTGGGAATGCTGTCCATGGGACACGTGCTCATCCCCCAGAGCGATCTGAGGTGGTCCAAACAGACTGATGTCGGCATCACTCACTTCAGATCTGGAATGTCTCACGACGAGGATCAACTCATTCCCAATCTCTATCGATACATTCAGCCCTGGGAGTCTGAGTTTATCGACTCTCAGAGAGTCTGGGCTGAGTACGCACTGAAGCGTCAGGAAGCCAATGCCCAGAATCGACGTCTGACTTTGGAAGACTTGGAGGACTCATGGGACCGAGGAATCCCCAGGATCAATACTCTCTTCCAGAAGGATCGTCACACCCTTGCTTACGACAAAGGCTGGCGCATTCGTACAGAATTCAAGCAGTACCAGGTTTTGAAGCAGAATCCCTTCTGGTGGACACACCAGCGTCACGACGGTAAGTTATGGAACCTCAACAACTACCGAACAGACATGATCCAAGCACTGGGTGGAGTTGAAGGTATTCTCGAGCACACTCTCTTCAAGGGGACCTACTTCCCCACCTGGGAGGGTCTCTTCTGGGAGAAGGCATCGGGCTTCGAAGAGTCCATGAAGTACAAGAAACTCACGAACGCTCAGAGATCTGGTCTCAACCAGATACCCAACAGAAGATTCACCCTCTGGTGGTCCCCCACCATCAATCGTGCTAATGTGTACGTAGGTTTCCAAGTACAACTTGACCTCACTGGTATCTTCATGCACGGCAAGATCCCAACTCTAAAAATCTCGTTGATACAAATCTTCAGGGCTCATTTGTGGCAGAAGGTCCACGAGTCCATTGTCATGGATCTCTGCCAGGTCTTCGATCAAGAACTCGATGCCCTTGAGATCGAGACCGTTCAGAAGGAGACGATTCACCCCAGAAAGTCTTACAAGATGAACTCGTCTTGTGCGGACATCTTGCTCTTCTCAGCTTACAAGTGGAACGTCAGTCGTCCCTCTCTGCTTGCTGACTCTAAAGACGTCATGGATAATGTGACGACCCAGAAGTACTGGATCGATGTACAGCTGAGGTGGGGCGACTACGATTCTCACGATGTTGAACGTTACGCAAGGGCCAAGTTCATGGATTACACGTCCGACAACATGTCTATCTATCCTTCACCCACAGGATTGCTCATCGCTATTGATCTCGCTTACAATCTACATTCGGCCTACGGTAACTGGTTCCCAGGATGCAAGCCACTTATCCAACAAGCTATGGCCAAGATCATGAAGGCTAATCCAGCGCTTTATGTCTTGAGGGAACGAATCAGGAAAGCCCTTCAACTTTACTCGTCAGAACCAACAGAGCCTTATCTGTCGTCTCAGAATTACGGAGAGCTGTTCAGCAACCAGATCATCTGGTTCGTTGACGACACAAACGTCTATCGTGTCACCATTCACAAGACATTCGAAGGAAATTTGACGACGAAGCCCATCAACGGCGCCATCTTCATCTTCAACCCTCGCACAGGTCAGCTGTTCCTGAAGATCATTCACACGTCAGTTTGGGCGGGACAGAAGCGTTTGGGACAGCTTGCTAAATGGAAGACTGCTGAGGAAGTCGCTGCATTGATTCGATCACTTCCAGTTGAGGAGCAGCCCAAGCAGATTATAGTCACGAGGAAGGGTATGTTGGATCCTCTCGAGGTGCATCTTCTCGATTTCCCCAATATTGTGATCAAGGGGTCGGAGCTGCAGCTTCCCTTCCAGGCGTGTCTCAAAGTCGAGAAGTTTGGGGATCTTATTCTGAAGGCAACTGAACCCCAGATGGTTCTCTTCAATCTTTACGATGACTGGTTGAAGACTATCTCGTCATACACAGCCTTCAGCAGATTGATTCTCATTCTGAGGGCTCTTCATGTGAATACTGAGAGGACTAAGGTGGTTCTGAAGCCTGACAAGACAACCATAACCGAGCCCCATCACATCTGGCCGTCTTTGACGGACGATGAGTGGATCAAGGTTGAGGTTCAGCTGAAGGATCTCATTCTCGCGGATTATGGAAAGAAGAATAACGTGAATGTCGCGTCACTAACGCAGTCCGAGATCAGGGATATCATTCTGGGTATGGAGATATCAGCGCCATCTGCGCAGAGACAGCAGATCGCGGAAATTGAGAAGCAGACGAAGGAGCAGTCACAGCTTACGGCGACCACTACGAGAACGGTTAACAAGCATGGGGATGAAATCATCACGGCTACTACCTCTAACTATGAGACTCAGGCGTTCTCCAGCAAGACTGAGTGGAGGGTCAGGGCCATTTCAGCTACCAATCTCCATCTTAGGACTAATCATATCTATGTCTCGAGTGATGACATCAAGGAGACTGGGTACACTTACATCTTGCCGAAGAATGTGCTGAAGAAATTTGTCACAATTTCTGATCTCAGGGCCCAGATCTCAGGGTATTTGTATGGAATTTCACCACCGGATAATCCACAGGTGAGTTTTAAGTTTGATTTATAACACTATGGACCAACTCCCAGATTATTTAGATGAGTACCGAAATGATTAAACGATCTAAGTTGATTTAGTCTTGAGTTTTCCATGAATATCTCCGAATCTAAGGGAGATAGCGAAATTTTCGTCATGACCTTTTTTGTAGAACGAATTGAGGGCTACAATAAAGGTCATGACTAAAATTTTGATATCTCGCTTAGATTTTGAGATATTCATTGAGAAGTGGCCAATAGTCGAAATCGACTGAATTTATTACCCTACGCAGAATCATGGGTTCTATCGTAAGGTCGGTTGAGATAGTCATTCAATTTTTGGGACTTGTTGTTTTTGGGACTTTTTTTCTGGGACTTTGTTTATTTTAGAAAGTTTGATCCGAATTAGTCCCATCTGTGCAGTTGGGCCCGACTTTTCTCCTTCCAAGCCTCTCATCATTTCACGTTTCAAATGGGCCTTCCGTCCCTCTTCGGGGGCAATTCGGTCCCAACTTGGGGCCCCACGTTGCGGATACCGCCGATAATACAGAATTTCTTGTTACCGGTCGAAATCCGTGTCACATATGTTTGTGAAAAAAATCACCCAAGGCTGGGATCGAACCCGCAACCTCTCGCACAGTAGGCAGACATGCTACCACTGAGCCAAAGCTCCTATAAACAACGTTATGAATCCATAATATAGATTATCTTGGAAATGAGAATATTTACAATCTAATATTCCACCCATCTATTTCTCAACAACAATCCCCTTTCCATAATTACCCTTTTTCTTCAATCATCACAGGTCAAGGAAATTCGTTGCATCGTGATGCCACCGCAGTGGGGCACCCACCAAGTGGTCCATCTCCCAAACTCCCTTCCAAATCATCAATATCTGAAGGAGATGGAGCCCCTGGGGTGGATTCACACGCAGCCCAACGAACTTCCTCAACTGTCTCCCCAAGACATTTCCACTCATGCCAAGGTCATGGCCGAGAATCCCGTGTGGGACGGGGAGAAGACGATCGTCATCACTTGCAGTTTCACCCCTGGCTCATGCTCACTGACTGCGTACAAACTGACGCCCAGTGGCTTTGAATGGGGAAAACAGAACACAGACTGTGGAAATAATCCCAAGGGTTATCTGCCCAGTCATTATGAGAAGGTCCAGATGCTGTTGAGTGACAGGTTTCTTGGGTTCTTCATGGTGCCCAGTCAGGGCAGCTGGAACTACAACTTCATGGGGGTCAGGCATGAGCCTAGCATGAAGTATGAGCTGCAATTGGCTAATCCTAAGGAGTTCTATCATGAGGTCCACAGACCTGCGCACTTCCTGCTGTTTGCTGATCTGGAGGATGGGGGTAGTGGTGTTGGAGCCGATCGAGAAGACACTTTTGCGTAAATTTTGGGGAATTGAGAGTTTGAGGGGGTGTAAATATGATGAATTTGCGAAGGGAGTTGATTCAAGTTTTGACTTTTGTACAGAATCTTCTGATTTTAGCGAGTATTGATGAGTATCGTAATGTATTTCATGTGTAATTGAGGTAGTATTGAATAAATGAGATTTTCAGGAAGTTTTTTGGGATCTTGTTTGGGAGCATGTTTTTTTATATTTATATTTTTTTCCCTCAAATATAGGCCTCCAAGAACCCATATTTGATAAAGAAACACACGGAAAATAGCTCAATAATTATTTATTTGCTTTTAAAAATTGCATTTTTTAAACGTTCTCAAAAGGCCTGTGACGTCAACTCACCGCGAATTCGCTACGTTTTTCTATGAAATTTTTTCATAGGTGACACGGCAGGATTATTTGAAGACACTATCATCATCACTTCATTGGAGACAGCAGAGTCAGTGAAATTCTCCGTGAAAAATGGTGATTGGAGAAGTATTAAACTCCACTACCTCCAGGGATAATGAAGAAATATGCTTTCTAAGAGGAGGAGCTTATTTTTCCAATAGCGAGGTAAGTAATGGGTATAAACTTTGAACTTTAGAGGACTTTTCTCTCCTGCTTGAATTTCAGAATTCCCTCGGTTTCACTTGCATACCCTCTTCGTTAGCATTTTCTTGCAATTTTCGAAGTAATTACACTCTCCTTCGATTAAAAACCCATTCAACATATGAAATTAGTTCTGTTTTTCTTTTTCAATTAATGTCACGATTGCTTAATGCAAAAATAAGAAATTGAAAATGAGAATTTCTCATTTTTATGATGAAACAGTTGAGTAATAATTTCTTCCTTCTGATTTTCACTCTTCCTCATTCATATGGGGTCTGCAAGGGGTTTCGATTGTTCCTATAGTCTTCCATGTTGAGAAGGGGTAACGGTGAGATTCTAGATTTTCGACATTTTTTAGATTTTCTAATCAACATTTTTTAATATTTTTTTTCCAACAAAAGTTTGAAAGGTCTATACTCTTTAAAGCAGCTCTACCCTTCGGTCGGGCTACGCTGTACTTTTGAATAATTTCAGTTTTAGAATTTTTCAACTAAATTGTAGGGAAAAAATTTGAAAAAATTCATACCCAGTCAGTATTATCTAAATTAAATTTCGCAAAATATTGATATTTTTTCAAACATTTCCCTCTTATAAACAAATAAAAATTATTTGCAGAACGGTGGATTGAAATATTATATTAATTTTAAAAAATATATATATTTTATTGTAATCATAAAATATATCATCATATAATGCTACAGAAAGAACACGTTAGGTGGAATAGATTGCCTTCAAAAAACGTTACATTAGATTTTTTATTAAAGGAGACCCTAGTGACCCTCATGAACCCTGAAAATTTTTGTGTTGTCTTAATTTACAAAGTTATTATATCGAGATTCAAATCGTAAAAAAGCAATCCAAACCAGAAGCCCTTCCCCATTACATGGAATTGCCCATCCCTCAGGAAATTGCAAACTTTTGTTACAAAAAAAAAAATTACAAACAATTAATGCATCATACGGACGATAGTTTCAAGAAATACCGTAAAAACGAGCACCAATCCCGGAAACATGCGATTGCAAAAAAACAAATTCAGTCAAAAATAATTGTTTTTTAATTTTTTAATTTGATACATAACATGATACATTCGATGAATACATTTTTTAATCATTTCGTGTTATCCTCAAGGGTATAAGCTTGAGTGAGAATTATCTGATAAAAAAAATAGAAGGTGTTTTCGCCTGCGATATGCTCCCCTACGGTGTAGGCGCAAAGCCGGCAGCGACACATGCTGCCATGCACACTCCTAGTGCTGTATTACACGCTACAATGGCAGCGGGCACACCTGCACCCATGGTGACTGTGCCGAACGTAAATCCGGCTGCTGCATAGCAACTTACAACGATTGCATTGCAGCCAGTCTGGCAAATGCCATAAGCCAATGGGCCAGCCATCACATCGCTGGCACTGATGAGTAAAGTTAGGATAATAAGAACTTTCGCTGATAGCATTTTCTGCAATAATAATCAGCATGTAAATCAGAAATTAATCAGGAGCTAAAATTATAATTTTTTCCGTCTGATTTCTATTCCAATAAAAAAGGAAGACAAATAGAGTCGAAAAAACTAGAAAATTCTTGTCGAAAAATTTCCGCAGAAAATATCACAACAGAATAAGTTGCGTGAAAAATGAAATTCTATTGTTTTTTTTTATAGAAGTTTCGGTTGGACATTTTCAATTAAAAAACGCGCCGTAATCGGACAAAAAAATTTCAGTAGAAGTTCAATAGAATTTTCTATTACTTGTATTCTCCGAATAAATACACAAAGAAAAACGCTGATACTCCACAGCATTAGAAACCTTAAAGAAAAATTAATAAAAGGTGGCAAGCAACCAAATATTCCATGGACGAAATATTTTTATTAGTGACGGCTGGAAATATCACAACAATTTTAACAATATTCTTGTGTCTAATACTTTTAGAAAATGAAGAGAGTCGATTTTTTTTGGCTCGACATTGGCATTCTTCAAATAAATATTGCGACTGCTCAGTTTTTATGGCTGCTGCCCCAAATCTGCGCAATTCATCAAGAACAAAAAAATATTCTCAAAATGAAATTTAAGAGATTTTATAATAATGAAAGAAAAACACCGTCTCGAGAGAATGATAAAAACTCACTTGATTGCGAGATCAATTTATGAGATGAAATTCCTTTGAAATTTGACTCCAACTGCGAGACGAATGGTTCTCCACCCTTCGCTCTTTTTACGACTGCTACTCNGCGTTGAGCCTGTGCGGTAGTGGCGGGGACCCGAGGAGTGCGCGAGGGAGCTGCGCACGAAATTCCCACGCGTGGGATTTTTCCCCTCATCTGGCATCACTGCTACTCTGGGACTGACTGCTCCGTATCGCCGGTTGCGTCTTACCGAAAGGAGGGGCTTCCCACAGTTACCGAATTATGGCTTTTGCAATCTTATCTCCTCAGAGTGCAGCACCAGTCACTCGGAACACTCGTAATGTGCGGGTATTATTCTTGAAGAATGCGGGTTGTTCCGAGGAAATCGTGCGCAAATAATATTTTATTCTTTTATCATCATGTTTTAAATGATAAACTAGAGGCTGTTATCAGTTGCACGCCTTTAAGAATGCACGTGCCGAGATTGAATGACGGAATGAACGGACGTGGACCAACGGAGTTTCGCGGAGACGGTCCGTTTATGCCCCTCTCCATCGGCGAACTCGTGGGTATACTATAGTTCAGTGGCCCGTTTACTGTAGTTCCCTCGTCCAACGGTCGCCAATTCTTGGTAACAGCTTGGGGAATGCATTCGACGTGATTGGACAGCGAATAGGTTTTCGTATGATGCGACTACTTACCATCGGAGGGTCGTCTTCTACTGGACAGGTGGGGAGATAGACATGAAATGTAAGACGCGTGAAAAAGCATACGCATTTTTTATTCATTTTTTTTTCCGAATGTGAGATCATCCGCGCTATTTCAATAAAAAAGATTTTTTTTATTTTTGTATGTAAGAAAAAAGAAAATGTAAGGAAAAAGAAAAAAAAAGTTTTTTTTCCAAAAGTTATACAAAATACAAAATTGGAGGCGTCACTGGGTAAGTAATTGTTTATAGCATCATAACTCGATAAATATTGGTTGTAACGAAAAAATGGAAATATATCTTCCATTGCCAAAGTGTGATAGATTCATAACATAATTTTTTGTTTGCAAAAAAATTCAATTTACAATACATTTTTGATAAACAAATCTAAAAGTTAATTTGGAAAAAATGTTTGCAGGTCTAAAAAAATCTGAAAAAAAATATTATAGAGTGCATTTCGTTACTATCTCGGTAATATGCAACTAGCGGGTGAATAGTTACTTGATCTTTTGTCCAGTGACAGTCCTGAATATCAGTTACGACTCATGATGAATCACGTATGAATTCCAAAAACATTGAACGATAATACTCTCATGGGGCTTTAGAATTCTGCAGTTGATAGCATTGAGAATGAGAAGGATAACATGCTGAGAAATCAGTGAGTATGATTCACTGTGGGATTACTTGTGGCCGTATACTCAGCGCGGTCGGCCGGCTTAGCTCGACGCAGCCTCACGAAATAACTAATATCTCAGGCCCTGTATCAAAACACTCTCTGAAAATTCAACAGTGAATTCTCTGATATGCAGTCTGTAATTTTTTTCTTTATTTTTACGACCTGCAAACATGTCTTTTCATGAACTTTTTGATTTTTTGATAAATATTAAGAAAGACGGCCCCACATGAATTTCATTCATCACCTTGATAAATGAAGGAATTTCAAGTGTTTCACGGATTAATTTGACTGTCGAACTCAGCATGAGATTCACAACTTCAAGCTCCCAATTTCGAGACCCGGCCGGGCCAAAATTCCACACCAATTTTTCATCACGAATTTCCACATAATAGGGTAAGCTACCCAGTAGATGGACACTGCCCTATAGATGGACGAGCTACTGTTGGATAGGAAATTACGCAACAAAATACTGAAATGTGAATTGTTGCGTTGAATTTTCACGAACTGTCGTGATTCTCAACCCCTGAGTAACGATTTTTTTCGATCAATTTTTTTCTTCAATTGCTAAAAAACAAACGTCCATCTACTGGGCAGTTTACCCTATTCATCTGAAAATTTAACACAATTTTCAAACCGAATATTCCACAGATTTTCCAAGTGAAAAAAACCCACTCCACATTCAACATTCCCTGGCTGAAGGCCCTTGGGCGATGGTCGCGTTGGTAAGGTAATCTTTGCAACGAAAAACCGGTGAAATTTTTGACTGTTGGAGATGCGCCGTTGGGGATTAATAGCAGAAAAACCATCAGTGATAGTGGTAACAAAGGAATGAGAAAGGCATAAAAAATAATCACGTACCTTTCGGCGTGACTATAAACACGAATTTTTGCCATTGAAGGGAACACAGCGGAATGTTAGAAGTGAAATTCTGGCCTTTCAGTACTGCCAATTCTGTGTTTGTTCTCTTCTCAGAAGGTTCTGAGATGAGGAATCGGCACACGCGGAGAGAAATTCTCCCTTAATATTTCACCCATCAGTGTTCGTTTAATTTTCATGTATTTTCTGAAAAGTTTAATACTGTTGTCACACTAATAATTTACATTGTCCAGTCTCTCCTGAATAAGAAGCAAAAATAGTTCATATTTCAGACGGCTCTCGGGGCACTCGCTTCTCCGCATTTGAACCGTTTCATCAGCAGCCGTTTTATTTTGTTCTTGCACACGAAGATTATGAAGATCATGACGCCCTCGATGCCGTTGATACCGTCTGCCACGTACCGCACCCAAGGGCTCTCGGTCCCCAGTAGCCAGCCAATAATGTCCATTGACCAAGTTACCCCCATTATAATGAAGAGTTTCAGGTAGAGATTGAACCTGAAATAACACGGAGAATGACAAATGACGGAAACTTACGGCTGAAGGGAGAAAGACTGACGAGAAGATAGAACCATTGCTTGTCATCGTGTCGACGGCTGTCCTTCCTCTCGAGCTGTGACGCCGTCTCTCGCTTCTGCCGGAGGATTTTAATTGTTGTCGATATAAACAAGGAGATATTGCACATGACTGTTATTGCCATGGGGCAGTACAGAAAAATTGATTCTGAAATGTCGTCTGGAAGGAAATTTTTTTGAAGTCGTTAATTCCAACGGGTCAATACGAGCTGACGAATTTATGACGGTGATGAGACATCACATTTTCATATCGTCATATCAGCTCATAATTTGAGTCGGCTGTCATGGGGTTGATCTTCACCCCAGGAAAATCTAAGAAATCTTGAGAAATTGTCAATCTCTCACCTTGAAACCAGCAAGTAAATTCTCCGAAGCTGGGACTAAGGTATTCATCAAAGAATCCGGGCATAAAGTCCATCATAAGACAGATGATCGTCAAGATTGATGGACAGCCCCAAGCATAAATTGCGTAACCGGTGAATTTCCGGCACTCCGCCTTCTTGCACTGCTTGACGCTACCCTGCCGTGTCCGGGAACTCCTGAAACAGATCCCCGAGCGGTCAGAACCATCAGAATGAAGCTACCTTTCATTCTCAAGGCGTCACTTGCCTGAAAGTCAACCAGATGTCGAAGCACATGACATTGAGCCAGAAGAAGGATGACATGAGCCATAAGTAATTGAAAAATGCTGCAACAAAATGGAAAATTTCGAGCTTTTATCAGGGAAATTATCCAACAGATTGAGGAAAACACGATATTTTTCTATTCCCTGTATGTTCCAGAGTTCATTTACCTCAGGTAAATTACATGGGACTTTTCGACATGTCAGAAACCTATTTGGCGACCTTCATTGGCATAATGCGAAACCGTGAAATTTTCAACAGGTCTGCAAATGCCGTCTGTTCAGAGTCACGAGGGTCATACCTCGCGAGGGTTAAAAGTCGGAAAAATCATACGCCGCAAGGTTCATGCCTCGCGTGGGTCAAACGTCGCAACGGTCATATCTTGTGAGGGTCAAACGTCACAACCACCATAACTCGCAAGGGCCTAACGATCACAAGGGTCAAACAACCACAAGGGTCAAACGAGATAGCCTTCAGATTATTTCTCTTGATTTATGATCGTCCCACCCTTGTCGTTGCTCTCACACAGGATCACCCGACCTAGTTATCCTGTTTGACTCTTGTGATTGTCCTACTTGTTTCTTTTGTTTCAACTTTATGATCGTTGGACCCTTGTGATTGTGCCGCCTGCCTCCCCCGGTTGACCCTTTTGGTAGTTTCACCCTTCAGATTGAAGGATTGCCTCTGTTGTTCGACCCTTGCGACGTTTGACCCTCGCGAGGATGACCCTCGTCATCGTTTGATCCTCATGATTGTCCGACCGGCGTACCTCTCACTTTTGACCCTTGTGACTTTATCATAGCTCAACTCCCCTGTAAGCAGGTTTCTGACACTTTTTGACATTTTTAACGCTCCAGAGGTATATCACCGGTATTTGACCAAGTCACATTGAAAAGACTTCAGTTGAAAAGACACCAGAGTTGAAAAATCACCTAGAAAAGTGCAGCCCATTGGAGAGTGCCGAGGGTCGACAACTTCGAGCCTCATAAGAGTGATTCCTCCGTAAGCCAAGAACAGAGAAGCAACGTAAGCCATCAGGATCATCCCATGGATATTCCTCAGCACTGGCAAACAGGCGTAGACAAGGAACGTGACAATGAGAAAGGGCATGGGAAATGCGAGACTGATGGCATACAGAAAAGGAAAATCTTGCATCTCGAATGTAGACAAGCACGCAAGGATCCGCGTGTGGGTGCCATTCTCACCCATCCAACTGCTGAAGCAATAGTCATCAATTCCCAGGAATTCATCAGGCGCTTTATCCTTGGAATTGTTTAAGAAAATTCTTCCATCCTCCAGCAAGTAAAATACATCGAATGAAGGTGCTTCACTCGACAATTCGTACATCCGATCATCACAGGGAATCCTGTATATGCGTTGGAAATCCGTTGGTCCTATCGCTGAAGGTTTCAGATCCTCACGGAAGATCTGAGGTATCTCGGGGTCGTAAACAGGCTTTGAGGTTTTTGAGGCGCAGACCACATACTCGGAAGATGCCATGAATTTTCCTGGTGGACAGCAGATCGAGAGCTGCGGTTTCTCCAATGGTGTCAGTGATCTCTGGACTCGCGATGATGTCTGCTGAAACTATAGTCAAAATAGTCTCAAGTGGTATTTATTGAAGAATTCAGGGGGACACCCAGCCATGCCTAGAAAACAAATTACACAGCCAGTACGAAGTACAATCAAACAGTTATCGAAGAAAATTCCAACAAGATGCCGATGGATATTAATTACATTAGTATGGCTAATCTCTTAAAATTGCATTCCAGCATGTCTGTATGTAGAGCATAGGTCTCTACATTTGTGCCTAGCGCCAGCAGTTCTACGCGGGCAGATAGGACTAAGCGGACACCCATCCAAGTACTAACCAGACTAACCGCTCCAGCCGCACACCACCCGTGTGACCACTACTGTCGTTGTAGTTCACATAAAAGCGGAAAAAATGTAGTATTCGAAATACAAGATCTATGCGCGCGGTATCGCGCGCGCTGATCTATTCATTTGTTGAAATGAAGAAATGGAATTCATTGAATTTCATTTTCTCACGAATACCTTATAAATATTGATAATGAATCAAAGAGAATTCGACTAATGATTGAAGTGAATAACGAAGTAGAGTAAAAGAATCTATAAAGAATTTTCCATTTTCAATTATTTTCAATTTTTTTTAAATAATCGGTCTCCATAAAAGGACAGAATTGATTAATTTCACTCATGATATCTATACATGTGAAATATATATATCATATATATATATGACGTGAAAAACAAATTTACCACTGAAGAATTTGAAATTGTCACTGAAGAATTTGAAAATGCCGCGTTTTTTTTTGTGAATAACTTCGTGTCACATATTGACCAATCAGAATTGAGGATTAGCGGTCAGGCAGTTTCGAGATATTTCGATATAAAACAACTTCACGTTTCGTTCATCTTTAGTAAATAGGATATGTACAAAGTATGTGGCATACATGCTTATATGGGTCAGATATACGTAACGTATATTTCTCATAAATGTCTGAATATATCCCACGCATTCCGCTGAGGTAGGGCTGAGCGGACACCCATCCAAGTACTAACCAGACTAACCGCTGCAGCCGCACGCCACCCGTGTGACCACTACTGTCGTTGCAGTTCACATAAAAGCGGAAAAAATGTAGTATTCGAAATATATGTGCAAAGTATGTGGCATATAGGCTTATATGGATCAGATATACGTGACGTATATTTGTAATGAATGTGTAAATTATTCCACGCATTCATTCATTACCATGCGGGGTACGACCATTCAAAATCTTGATCAGAAGTCGCCGTATACTCAAACCAGTGTCAGAGCAGTGTAAGATGATATAAAAGTGGAAGAAATTAAGTAATTGGAGGACTCCCTCTTCCCAGACCGATGCATAAGTTTAGCGTAGGTTGACATGAAAAGCTCATAACGCTATTGTGTAACTTGATGAGTAATTATTCTATTCCCACCATCATTCAACTTCATTCAGAAGGCATTGAAACAATTTTTCAAGTCATAGCTAAATCCGTTTCAATAAAAAAAATTTGAGTGATCATTGAAAAAATATTTTTAAAAAAATACGAGTATTTTTAGAGATCAATGAAAAATTGAAGGTCAATCAGTGCCAACGGATGAAGCTTACACAAGCCCATATTCTGAAAAAAATATCGCACACATGCATGCGTCCTTACACACAGACGAAGCTTCAATTCGGAGGGAAAAAACAGCGCAAATTTTTCTGAGTGAAAGCTAAAAAAATGAGAAATCGCTCCCCAAGAGTAATTCTTACATCACCATCATCAGAATCACCACTGGCGCTCATCCTGGTATCACTGCACTCCCCGCACCCCCCGCCGAGGCACAGGACACAGACAATCACCACAACAATTCTCCCAATCGACATGTCAATGGGATCCTGATAAATGCTGATGGAAAAAAATCAGACGAATTTTGCCATTTCACTTCTGAGATGCATTCCGCACTCCTCCTTCCACAAATGATGCTGTCCATGCGTGAAACTGCATTTGTCCTTCAACATTCTCGTATCGACCGGCACCCGCGAGTGTTCTAACGAGATAAGGATATATATAAATACTAGAGCACTGCAAGAGTGATCAACAGTTTCACTGCCACGAGCGACGCCACACTTTCATCCTTGAGATCACGTTTTCATCTTTTCTTCCCCCCTGTATCGCTTTTCATTTAAACGAGAAAACTCGAGCGTTTTTCCGAGTCCAACACTGTGACACTGAGTGTCGCGCAGTGACAGCGGATTTTCGCTCGAGTCATTGACGACTGGGGAGAGGTGGACGAGATCAGCTCTAGGTGTTGCAGTAAAATCTCAATACCCGACTGAAATAACTCTTCTATCTATTTTTCACTCGCGAACGGAAGCTTTGGATCCGTGACAATTTTCGTTTTTTTTTGTTTTCATTGAAAATATCTTGGAATGATCTGTATAGCATGCGAACATGACGTTTTGGAAGAATGTCGATGTAAATTAGTCCATACCCTGAGGAGAGTAGTATGCATTTTGATAAAAATATTTGCAAAACTTTTTCTATAGTTTTTGAGGTGTAGAATCCGAATTTCTTGGTGTCTCGGCTGAATTTCATCGCAAGAGCATTATTATTAACAATTTAAAAGTTTAAAGGACCCTCTTGCGGCCGTTTCGGATCAAGATTCGTAGCAAATCCAATGGCGTTTGATTTTTTCAAATAACATAATTGAGCGACAGTAGTGGTCACACGGTTACGTGGGCTCCGGCGGTCGTCCAGGTTAAGCAGCGTTTAGTCTGGATAGTACAGTAGAGGCTTCATATAAGATACCTTAGGGACAGTAGGAGAGTGGAATTCCGGGAATCCTTATGCCCCCACTACGCGCGCCCATAGAGAGGAGAAAAATAGGGATCAGCGCGTTTCAAATAAGATACCTCACTCGTTGCGCCCGAACTCAATGAAATTTTCATTTTTACTGAATGAATATCGATAACTAATCAATTTATGTGTTTAATGTTTTGAATTTGTATCGCCCGCATTCCCTTTTCCCTCTAAACATAACCCCGCGTGATAGAATGGCAGCTGATGTTGGGGGATTGTTGGTGGAATCGAGAATAATCACAGACGAAAAATTACGATTTTTCGATGGGAAAACGAAAAAAAATCGATGTATATTTCCATTACTTGAAAAAAGTGGTGTGACCCCCCCTTAAGATCATTAGACCCTCATGATCACTTCGTCCGTCCCTCCCGTTTGACCCTTAACACCGTTTGATCCTTACAACTACTCTCTTCCCGTTGAAAAATGACCGGGGCCATAGGTATCTTATAAGAAGCCCACGGAACATAAACACTCGGGAGGCGATAAA